AAAGCTCACGATTTTTGATGGCTTAAAATAACTACAGAAAGTGATAAAACATTACGCATTATGTTTTACCATTTTTCAAAACACTCATAAACTATTATAATATACTTCATTATTATGTTAAAAGAAATAGTTTGTAAAAGGATGATCCTTAATTCCACGTATACAACTTCAAATTAATTTCATTTATTTTTGTGGTAACTTATAAAAAATTTATAGAGCGATATAATGTAAAATATACGAAAGCGAAGAAGTGCCTACATTTTTATTTTTGCGACTTAGAATAATAAAACATCTTTATTGTAACAAACAAGTACATATTACATAGTGAGGGGCGAGATTTAGCATGATGGCCAAGGAAAATCCAGTTGTATAGTATATTTTTTCTACAACTGACGAAAATTTAAAAAATAAATTTAGAAGTTATTATATACATTTATAAATGGTATAGAACAGGTTCAAAATTTATTTTAAGCATTGTTGCATTTAAATCTGGTATCGCCCCTATCAATTTCAGATACAATTATGACGAATTACACACTATTTGTGTATCTTAAGACCTCTTTGAGTAAAAGAAACCAAAGGCATCTAAAAGTTTTATTTAATATAATTAACTCGTATGTCGATTGTCCCTACTTGTTATCCCAAATTGGATTTTTCGTACCTTCTAGAGCAGTGTTTCTCAAAGTGTGCTCCGCGGAGCCCTGAAAGCGTCTGTGGGGCTCCGCGAAAATAATCATAAAAAAATACTATGCGGAAGTTCGACGCCACAAACGGGAGGATCTGGTTTGAGGACCTTTGGCGGGGCTCCGTCAAATATTTCGCTTTTCAAAAGGGTTCCGTCGCCAAAAAAAGTTTGAGAAACAATGTTCTAGAGTAACTAGGAACATTAATACATTCTCCCAACCCCGTAGAACAAATTATGGTTCTCATTCTTTTATTCCTAATCAACTAAATGTAGATTTAATTATTTCTCCATCGGAATTTTATAACCAGTTATGCAAATATGAGATTTAGAATTTAGATTTTTAATTGTTTATTAATATCTATATTTTTTAAATTAACTTATTATTTAAATATTATTATTTAATGACTGTGATGTGTATTATCTATTATTGTATTATACTTTAATGGGCTTTGACCCGTAAATAAGCAAAAAAATATATATTTTATTACTGGTTTTGTGAAAAAATTTATTCTTGATAAAAAGTAATGCCTGGTCCAAAACTTAAAATGCAACCATCAGATATCAATTTTTTTAAGCCGTATACGAGGTTTGTCAAAAAATATTGTTGCTGGAGAGTAAAGTACCTTTATCGTATACGACTAATAAAATTTGATATCTGATGGTTGGATTTTGAGTTTTAGACCATGCTCGACTTTTTATGAAGAATAACTTTTTTCCTAAGATTAATAATAAAAAAGCTTTCCGTGTGCCACCAACTGTCTACGTAAGTTGACAGGATATGAAAAACTTATTTATTAATATTAGGAAAAAAAGTAATTCTTCATAAAAAGTCGAGCATGGTTTAAAACTCAAAATATAACCATCAGATATCAAATTTTATTAGTCGTATGCGAGGTTTGTCAAAAATAAAGGTACTTTACTCTTCAGCACAATTCACATTTGTTGACAAACCTCGTATACGGCTTAAAAAAAAATGATATCTGATGGTTGCATTTTTAGTTTTGGACCAGCACTCTTCATTAAGAATAAAAATTTTCACAAAACCAATAATAAAAAAGTTTTCCATATGGTTCCAACTTAAGTAGACCCTGTATATCAACAATCGGGTGCCAACTATATTATTCTAAATATCAGCGTCATTAAAAGGTTTTATTGCCACCGACTTGTTAGAAATTTTGTCCTCTTTTGTTTGTGAAAAAATGTATAATGCATCATTTAAAATGTTCAATAAAACCCATGTTATTTATTTAGTTTTCAAACAGTGCTCTCCAGCAGTCACCGTGAAACCAATGCAGACAGGACTTGTTTAACATTAATCAAGAAAAGCCCATTTTAACAAGAATTTAATGAGATTGAGTTTGAAAATTTGATTTAAACTAACCATTTAAACAAAAAATGTTCTACGTTCCCCTATATCTTTTTTTTTAAGAATAGAGTACATGATTTTAAAACGTATATTTTTTCAAGTATATTTCATCAGTCAAATTGTGGAGAAAAATGTATTTTTACATGAATGAATTAAGTCCACCTTCTTCAAATACTCTGTATAAGTATGTTTCCTGGTTCTTTCAGACGACTTTTTTAAATAATTTCTCTGGTAATATGATCATTTTTAGAACGATTTTTTTATAAAAACTTTAAAATAAACTGTCAAAAACCATAACATTTACATTTATGTATAAAAATTCTTAAGACAGTTGTGTTATCTAATCCCTATGATCGAAAAACGAAATAAAATACGGGTCGATATAAAAAAAATCTTGACTCATTGTAAACTATGTAACTACATGCTGTTTTCAAAACTGTATTTTTCAGTACAAACATTCGATAATCCATTGTAATGAGTTTGGAGTTCTAAGTCAGAAAAATTAAAAAATATATCTTTTTTGGCCCTGCTATGCTTCTGTAGGAAAGTGATATATTTTGCATCAGTGTGAAAAAAGTAACAAGTGCAGGAAATTCACTGTTCACCGAGTTATTCACATTATTTTTCCTACGACCGTAAAGTGCAAACTAAATGTTATTTTAAACTGAACAAAACATGTTTTGTAACATTTTTAAAATTGTAGTTTTCTTTGGTCAGTTTTAGAAAAAATATAGTGTACAACTTGGGTGGCCATCATAAGCACTCTATTTCAGTTTAAAAACTTTTAGTATTAATTTTTTTTTACTACATATTATTAGGTAGCAAATAAAAAGAAAAATATTGTAAATATGGAATTTGGAACAATCCTATTTATTATAAAAAAATAGATCATTTTCTTAAAATCGCATTTAGTTGCAAACAATTTTTTAACGATAAAGACTTAACAGCTACATAAACGAATTATTTATAAATAATAGCTTGACTAAGATCCAGCGAACTAATAATTATACATAATATAGTCCGCTGTCTAATTACTGCTAATTGAAATAAAAATATGAGCATATTTATTTGTGCAAAATGGATGGATTGAAAACTGTTTGGAAATATTAAATGGCACCTCTAATTAACATGGCAAAACTAGGTCAATATCTAAAAATAGAGCAAGGTTTTTCTGTATGTCTACTACAAAGCTAGAAAAATTTCGTTCTGGAAGAGTCACGTTACTTATAATATGTATAGAAATTAATAAAATCAAAAAATTTATACCAAGGTGTTTTAATTCATTTTTACCCAAACAAGAATATTTAAATTCCGATAAATTACTGTTCTTGTCTTTTAAGAATTAATGATGGATTGTTATTTTTACAGGATTATACAGAGTGTGCTATTAATAATTATTAATCCAATTGCACATGGAATAATTTCGATATTTTGGGGTCAAAATATGATGATCTGAAAAAAATGACATCAGAAAAATTTGCTAATAAAAAGTTGTGAAGTGCAAGTTTTTTTTATTATTTTTTATTTTCGCAACATTTGGTTAACTGATCAAATTATTTTAAACAAATGGTAGTAGTTTTCAACGTGGGGACCGTGGGGAACGTTACTATATATTATTTTGAACCTTCACCTGGTATGCTCATTCTGAGTAACATACCTGGACTCGTGGGGTATGTATGAACCCCAGTGATAAAAATCTTTGTAAAAATTGAAATATTGATTATTTTGTCTCAAAAAATTCAGAGATCCTCTTTAGATACCGCTTTAAACTGTAGAATAGTCCGAGTTGAAAAAAAATAAAGATCAGCCTTCTAAAAAATCCGGAAAACTGGAAAAAATGCGTTTTTTACAAAAAAAAAATCATAACTTTTTTGTTTTTCAATAAAAAGGTCTGAAATTTTAGCTGTCTTCTTCTGTTACGTCACTATAAAAAAATAATAATTGTTTTCATTAGTCTTAAAAAAAAGGTACTTATTTTGAAAGCGCTATCCCACTGGCCTAGGTATAAAAGTATATCCCTTGACTACATGTTACGAGTTTCGATTTCGAAGATGTAGAAATCGAAAATCGACGAGAAAGAGCGTGGGGGTATATACGTACCCCACGAGGCCAGGTGAAGGTTAACCTGATCCACTAGATACTTAATTACTTAAATTTGGTTAAAGTATGTTGAGTGCTTAGTAAAATATGATGAATAAATAAAAAAAAAAACTTCAACATAATGTTTATCAGATTTTCAAATTTAGACCCCAAGATTCTATATCTGTACATACTGACAAAATGGCCATATTTTAAAAATACACACAAAATAGATGTCATATGAAGTGGTAGGAAAAGTAAAACCATGTAGACATTATAATATGATTATTCCTATTATGAATTTATGATAAAACATTTTAAATAGGAATATGTAAAATAAGAATTAAAGGAAGAAATTAAAAATAGTTATCTATTTTTTCCAATCTAAACCCATTTCTATGTAAATTTTCCTTTGAATACATGTAAAAGAGAATTCAGTTTAAAATCCATTCTCTTTTGCAAATAATATACACTTTTGATGATCATTAGTAATATTTCAAATACCATAAGAAATACAAAGATTAGTTACTTTATTTATATTTTTTGAAGAAATTTACTTGTCCCTTTTATGATTTGTTTTACTCTTGCTTAATTATCTTCAACCATTAAAATAAAAAAGGTTATCTCATAAAAAACCTTTATTAGTAAAAAATATAATAAAAACGATAGTAATGATCATCAAAAGTGTTCAAACTAAAATATATAAATATAAAACTATAAAATTGATCACTCTTTCTCACCTTAGAAAAGTTCTAGATTCAATAAAATTTGGCAATTTTTCCGACTATTTTCAAAAGACTTGTAAAAGTTGTGATGAAAAATTGTTGTGTCTTAAGTTAAAAATGATATATAATTTGATTATGCAATGATTTAAAGAACACAACATTTCTTTTTATTTCTTTTGATATAATTTGGTTTTAAAGGTGGTCGTTCGGAGAGTTGAAATTTTCGTACGACACGAACTAGTTCGAAAAATGCATTATCAACATTCATTCTCATTTTTGCACTACATTCAATGTAAGGTATTTTCAGCTGTCTAGCAAGTTGCTGGGCTTCCTCTTGCCAAACATCCCTTTGGTGTTCAAGGTCAACCTGGAAAAATATTTTATGGTTCTATAATTTTTTTTTCACAACCCAACTGAGAAATATGCTCCCTCCCCTTTTAACACATTCGCGGACAGTGACGTGAAATCACGTCATTGGCCTTTGTTTCAACAGGGCACTAAAATAAAGTCAAGTGTGCTCAAATTGTCACAGTGGTAGGATAAGTACTTTTATACGTAGAGAAACGAAACATATAGCTTTAAAATCACATTTTTCCAAACAATTAGAAATATAGATAAAAACCACTGCGTCATATAACGGCATGTCCTGCGAAAAGCATAGTTTATTCTCAAAATGACAGTGACGTCATATACCGCATAAAAAATAAAATGAAAAACGGCAATTTTAAAGAAAATATGTATTCATAAAACTAGTAAATAAATACAAAATGATTTGGTAAAAATAACAAAAAAGAGATAAAGACCCTTATTCATGCCAATCCTGGAAACATTTTCTTTTACAAAGGGGTGGCTTGTCGACGCAATAGCGGCACTGCCAAGCAGTTTCTTTTCTTTTTTTTATCATATAACAATGCTTACAGCGCTTACAATATTTCCCCCGTTTTTTAGAATCTTCTGGTATAGGGATGGCCTCAAGAACATGACCAGTATTCTTCCTAGATTTTTTAGATGGCATGTATTTAGTTTGTTTTGGTACAGTTTTAACAAATTCGCCGCCATCTTTTTGATCAGGAGAAATTTCGACCGCTAGAATATGAAGAATTACTTTGAGTGTATTCAGGATCATCTATAGAATCGTCGGTACTATATGGATCGTGTGCGTTTTTAGCATCCGATTCTGACCCTTCAACCTTCGTATCAAGCTCATCATACCTCCTAAGTAGTTGCTGTTCTTGCTTTTTGTCCATTTTAGGTACCTACTAAGCCAAGTATTTAGCACACACAGTCCCAAACAATGCGTCAATCTGAACTATACGCGCTATCGCCGAACCACATTTTTCCCCCCACCAATGACATTTCGCAAACAATTTTTATCATACAGGTGTCTAGTGGGACACTTTACATAGTTCCATATAAAAAAATTGAAGTTAATCGCGCAGAATGTATCTATAGCGCATTAAATCTTTGACGGCAGTTGCCGTCAGTGTCCCTACTGAGATAATATATGTTGCGGCTTATTCCGCTTGTGTCCAATTATACACATACCCTAAAATATGAGTGTCCGCGAATGTGTTAAAAACTATTTTACCCTAAATTATAATTATTAATAAGTAGACTGCATTTTGGAGTACTTCTAATCTGTGGAATTTACCCTGAAATTGATACTTATAAGTTATTTGTCTACTTTATATATTACAATATGTTTGTAGCAAGTCACAAAAACGTACATATTAAAATAACGACATATTTAGACATAAAATACAGAACCACACAACGAAATAACTACATACATATAATTGTTAAGTAGAATAAAATAACTCAAATTAAGTTAGGTGAGTATATATAAAAGAGAAGAGAAAACAAAATAGAGTAGAAGGTTTACGAACTATGAAAGTTTACATTGATCGCTATATTCCTCCACAGAAAAAAAACAATGTGTCAACATAAATGTTTTTAATTTTTTCTTAAATGAATTGAACTCCAGCAGCCCAACTCGGATGACAATACATTATAAAGACCAAGTTTGAGGGAATTGTTTTTTTGATTTATTTAGTCAATATTTATTTATTCTTAAGTTGTTAGCTTGTCTGGTTGGATATTTGTGAATGTCGGACTGCCTAGAAAGACATGATATAAATTTGGAACCAGTTATGATTCTAACAGCCTTCTTCTGTAACCGGAAAATAAAAATTACATCTGAACTGTTACCCCAAAGTGCAGTGGCGTAATTTATGTGGGAATGGAATAGGGAAAAGTAAACCGTTCTTAATATGTTAGGATCTGTTACAATTTTAAGTTGCCTTAACAGATATAAGGTACTGCATAATTTAGGTTTCAATTTATTTATATGAATTCTCCAAGTTAAATTACTATCTAACATAACTCCAAGTAATTTAGTACTATTGCAATTTTGAGAATCGGTAACCAAAGAAAACTGCAATTCCTGAGATTTATTTTGATTTAACATGAGATTGTTAGCTAAGAACCAATGTTCAGCTTTAACGATAATAGTTTCTGCAGTATTTTTCAATTCAATTTCATTTTTATTTAATATTAGATATGAAAAAAATGTTAATAATATTAACAGATTAAATATTTGGATATATATCTCGTTTATTTAGCAAAGCTAATAGTACATTACAAATAAATAAAATTACAAAAAATATTTATCTATATCTAAAATATAACACTAAAATATCACAGATGCTGGCTCGTTAACATATAATCTCTTAGTTTATATTTAAAGGTATTAAATGAGGCGACATTTCGGAGTTCTAAGGGTATCTCATTAAAAGCTTGAAGTCCCTTAAAAAATATTGAATTTTGGGACTGTTTACGTGCAACTTGTGGAATATGAAAATTAGATCTATTTCTTGTGTTATAGTTATGATAGTCAAAGTTGTAATTGATTTTATCAAGTAAATAAGAGGGGACCAGTCCATGTTTAATTTTATAAATGAATATTAAAGTTAAGTACAGAAAATAGTTTTTAACAGAAAGCCATTTAAAATTTTGTAACATACCTAATATATTGGTCCTTCTATCACATGACAATAATATCCTCATTGCTCTATTTTGTAATTTCTGAAGTCTGTTGGTTTCATTCTGATTAAGTAAATACATAATGGTGGCACAATAAGTGAAATGAGGCAAAACTATACTGTTATATAAAAGAATCAATGACCATTTATTAATATATTTTGAGCACCAGTATAAGTAGTTGACTTTAAACGCTACTGTTTTAATGATATAGTTTGCATGATCTTTAAAAAACAACATATGGTCTACTATTACTCCCAGATATTTAATTTTTTTTACGACTTCAATGACATCATTTTCAATACTAATTTTCATATTATTTTCAGTAAATTCATTGTAATACCTAACATTCCCGATAATCATAAATTTAGTTTTGTTAATATTTACTTTTAACGAATTAAAACAACACCAATAATATATTTGCTTTAATGTGGTATTTATAGTAGCGGTTACTTCCTGCAAATTATTAGCAGAATAATACAGCAGAGTATCATCTGCAAACATATGTATGGAGCAACCACCTGCAACTTGAGAAATATCATCAATATATAGAAGGAACAATAGTGGGCCCAATACACTCCCCTGTGGTACGCCTAATTCATTTTTTGTTCTTTTGATAAAATGTTTTTAAACCTTAATTTTTGTTTTCTATTGTCCAGGTAATTTATAAGCCATTCTAGTGAATTTTCAATAATACCAAAACTTTTTAATCAGTAGAGATCGATTTACCGTTTCAAATGCTCTTTGTAGGTCTAAAAAAAGAGCACCTGTAATTAACTTGTTGTCAAGATTCTGTTTCCAGTCATTTAATACATATTGTAGTGCAGTCTCGCAGCTGTGTTTACCCCGAAATCCTGATTGATTACTATTAAACATATTATTTTCTTCCAAATATTCAATAAGTTGATTATATACTACTTTCTCTAAAATCACCTATGTTCTTTTATTTCTATGTTAACAATTTTGATACTAAAGATGATAAAAAAATATTATATAGAGGGTGGTGATTTAACTCTTGTGACTTTAACAGTTGACAGGCTGTCACTTACCAAATAAAAAAAAACATATGTTTTTCTGACAAACTGTTTTTAGAGCATATATTGTAATTAGCTACTTTTTTTTTAATTTGACAAATGGTAGACTAGATATAGATGAACAGCAAATTACATTGTGCTGTAAATTACAAATATCTATTATTTGCCACAATGTATAGAAAATCTTGACTCATTGCAAATATTGTAATTTCTATTGGCATAATCAAGCCTACAGTAAAAAAAATGTTCTCATCACCTGTTCCAAAAAATCAAATTTCATGGAATTTTTCTTGGTGGTAAAAAACTCCTAGCAATCTTTACACTGTCCAAAATGATTAAAACTTACCTTGTTTCCAACCATAAGCATAGGAAATTCATCCCTGTCTTTCACTCTAAGAATTTGTCTATGGAATTTAAAAATTTCATCAAAACTAGATCTTTCCGTTACTGAAAAAACTAATAAAAATCCTTCACCAGATCTCATATACTGTTCTCGCATTGCACTGAATTCTTCTTGACCTGCAGTATCCAAAACTGAAAATAAAATTCGTTGTTTACTGATTTTGTATTTCGAACGTATATTTATATAATAATATTTGGTCTCAAATTGCTGAAGGATTAAAAAATTTATTTAGTTTGATACTTTAAACTGTCTTTACACTTACTGTCTAATTTTGCAGGTATGTCGTCTATTACACATTGTTTAGTATAAGAATCCTCAATAGTAGGATCGTAATCAGTAACAAAATAACTCTGAAACAAAAAATAAAACTTTCTGTGTAGGCAGTATTAGGCACTCTACAAGGTTATGAACTAAATTTATATATATTAAACACAAATGTTTAATGCAAGTCTATCGTTACTCAGATATAATTTTATAAATGTATTGATTACTCTCCAAATTAGATCACGATAGATGTATTAAGTAGATTTATGATGTACCTGAATAAACTGTAAAGTTATAGCAGATTTTCCTACACCACCACCTCCTACTATCACTAATTTATATGTCTGATGATTGGGCGCTCTGTCTCTATCGTTAATTTTCGACATTTTTAACTAATAATTCGTTTTCTTTTTGTTATTACTATTAAAATAGTATAAATATAAATATATTAGACCACTAGAAAAATGAAAATGTAGTTACACCTACTAATGAAGTTAGGAATAAACACGTTTTCAGTTTAGCCAACGTAAATTGTAAATTGACAAATTGACATTGACGTTAAAAGTAACTAAGATGTATACAGTGCTGCCGGATGAAAATTTTCTGGAACAGTAGATCATCGAAACTGAACAGTAGATTTTAATACCTAAAGGGAAATAATTATAATTTGCAGTATAATAAATAAAAAAATATATAAGAAACGAAAAATAAACATTTTTGGCTTTTATACCCAAATTAGAAATTAAACAAAGAAGTCAGGAGACAAAAAAAAATAAATGAAAAATAATAGGTACATATTTCAGATCAATTTTAATCAGACAGTTTAAATATGTTGTGTTTCTCATGCATATTCTTATTCTTATTATGATGCACTATTAATTTTTTGTTGCATTTTAAATCAAAACATGTTGATTCTCTGGAAGTTAAATATTTTTAGTGTGGCGAAACCTACAAATTATTGTAGGTTTACGGCAGCATTATTGTAGGCTACAATTAATACTGGCTGTATTCAATTTATTACGCTGATATGACTTCAGCAAATTTACTTGAGAAAATATCCTTTGTACACTTGCTGAAGAACGAGACAAACTTAATTAATTAAGCACAAAATTTGCCAAGTTGACGAAAACAGATTTCATGCCTAAAACAGTACAACAAAAACAAAAACAGTAGATATACTGTTAAAACAGTAGGTCTGGCAACACTGGATGTATATTATTTACCAATTTTATTGGTTACAGCAAGAAATATTATATCCTCAAAACAAAGAAATAGAAGTAAATCTGACAATAGTGCACAATAAGCAACACACTCACACATGAACAGTGACGTCTCATTTAAAATATATTAGGTAATTTTACAATGTTTTCCTCTCCTTCGTTTCTGTTCCTTATTTCCTTTAATATTGTTGTTAATCCTTGCATCTTTCCAGTTGTTTCATAAAGTATTCTTGGTTGGTAAAATCTCTTATTCCTTTATTTGTGATATCGTTCCATTTTTTATTTATTTTGTTTTTATTTTTGATGTAAAATTAATTTTTGCTGCTTAATCAATATTTTCATGTTTCTGTAGTAATGTTTATATGAAATCCTATAATTCCAATTTATTTAAACGACAAACCTATAAGCAAATATTTTCTCATAAAATTTAACCATAAATTAACCGTTCATAATTTAAATCAATTGAAACCCCCCAATTCCAATTTATTTAAACGACAAACCTATAGGCAAATATTTTCTTATAAAATTTAATCACAAATTAACCATTAATAATTTAAATCAATTGGGTTTCCCCAATTCCAATTTATTTAAACGACAAACCTATAAGCAAATATTTTCTCATAAAATTTACCTACAAATTAACCGTCCATAATTTAAATCATAATACAATGTTACTTAAATTGTTAAAATATTCAAGCTATGCACAAATTAATGGACAAATTAAACAATTATTATAAAAATTTTCAGTTTTCTTGTTATTGCAGTAAAATAAATAACTGCGTTTTTGCCGATTGTAATATGGACTAGACTGGATTTTCATGCACCGTTTTCCTCATAAAAACCTGTTGTAATAATCAAACCATTGAGGCTGCGATTAAAGGGTTTACCCAAATATTCAAAATTTTACATATGGAAACTAAAATATTACTTTTAACGAAGGCATGCGACACTTATGGAGAATACAATATGATCCATTGTAGATGCATTCTGCATGCGACTACATGTATAGATAAATACATTAATATCGATTCTAGAATGCGACACAGTCGCAATGACAATGCAGCAAAGGATTTATGAGCAAAAAATAACAATAAGAGCAAACCGGACCTCTCATGGAAGCAAAAATGTTTTAAGGATTTTCTGATAGATCATTGTATTTATATGCATGCTATTGGGAATACCTCGTGATATTATGTGTCTTGAGAACATTGAAAGCTTTAAATTTGTGTAACGATAAGGCAGAACCCTACAGAGACGTTTAAGAAAAAAAAAAAAAAAAAAGGTGGGAAATTCTTCTCATTTAAGAACTACTAGATATTTATTAAAATAAAAAGCAGCTAATTTTCATAGAATTTATACAGAATGGCGCGGAAATGTTTTTTTTTATTTCTTTTAAATTTTTTCAAAATAAATACTTTTCGAAGGTTTCCATAAATTCATAGTTTCTCCACCCTAAGTTTTGTTATTGGTATTTCCTGAAAATTTCACAAAAATCGGACTAAACATAAAAGCTCAGAATGAATTATAAATTTTCAAGGTGTTCGGTTTGCTCTTAAATACTTCTTAATAATATTAACCATCTACCATCTTATAAGTAATGCCACGATTTTCATGCCACGAAGTTCTAAACACGGTTTAAATATTTCTATGGTTTAAATTCAACGCGCATCCCGTGTGTTCATGTTTTGTCTAATGGCCTTGATTCCAAAATTGACTAATATTTTGAGACAAACCGAAGCCCGGTGAAATCGCGGGTTGAATTTTTCCCGTGAATGGCTTTCAACGTCGTGAACACTCTATCTACCTACACTCATATTGTCCATAGTCGCATTTATACATTTCTAAAAGATGGACATGTTTGCATAATATAGGAGGTACCTAGGTCTGTTTGAAAATGTACCAGATATTGAAGTACTAATTCGTTGCTCCAGAAAGTACTCATATTTAAAATACTTATTATTTATTACTATGAAACTATGAACCTATGATCATCCACAGGTATTATACCAAAAACTGATTCAGATTAGGGAACAAGATGTGATTAGTCGTGGAAAACGTGACTAGGACCGAATCTCGACACTTACTTTCACGGCTTAAAACTATTTATAATATTAACACTTTAGTACAATAATTATAATTATTATTGGCAGAACTTTTGTATACGTAAGTTGGCCACATATGGAAAACTTTTTTATTAATAATTTTATCAAAAAAATATATTCCTTATAAAAAGTTCTGATTAGTCTAAAACCTAAAATTCAACCATCAGATATTAAATTTTCTGAGCCGTATACGAGGTGTGTCATATTTTTAACAAACCTCGTATACGACTAATAAAATTTGGTATCAGAATCAGATGATCGAATCACAGTTTTTAGGTCATGAAGAACTTTTTATGAAGAATAACATTTTTCGTAAAATTAATAATAAAAAAGTTTTCCATATGCCACTTATTTACGTAGACAGTTAATGTGGAAAACATTTAATTTCAGGAAAAAAATCTATTCTACATAAGAAATTGTGCAGGTCTAACCAGGGCCGCCGAGAGCCAGGTCGGGCCCCGGGACAATTCTCCAGGTCGAGCCCTGCAACAATTTTTTAAAAAATTAGGCCCTTTTTAATATCACATTTCTAAAAAAGAAGGTCTTGCAGCAAAACCTGCTCCTCCTCTTCACTGAATCTCTCTAAAAAAAAGGTCTTCAAGCAAAAACATCTCCTCTTCTTTACTTGAATTTCTCTAAAAAAAGAAATGTCTTCAAGCAAAAACTTCTCTACTTTACTTGAATTTCTCTAAAAAAAAAAATCTTCAAGCAAAAATTTCTCCCCCGCCGAACTGCTCAAGAAGTTGCCGGGCCCCCCTTATGCCGCTGCCGAGCCCACACTTGAGTCCGAGCCCCGGGAATTAGTCCCGGCTACCCCCCCCCCCTCTTGTCGGCCCTGGGTCTAACACCTAAAATACAACCATCAGATATCAAATTTTATGAGTCGTATACGAGATTTGTCAACATGAATATACTCTTGACCAAAAATAATTTTTTTGACAAACCTTGTATACGATTTATAAAATTTGATATATGATGGTTGCATTTTAGGTTTTAGACCACGTACATTTTTTTATGAGGAATACATTTTTTTGATAAAACTAATAATTAATAAGTTTTCCATATGTAGCTAATTTACGTATAATATATGTATAAAGTTTATATTTCATTTTCAATTTAACTAGAGTTGAACTATAACTATACTATATTACATTAGCAATGTGAAAAATCAGTTTTACACAAGTGATGTACAATATTTTTCATACGAGTACAAAATAATTTTAGATTTATTTTTTTATATGCCTTATTAATAATTTTTAAAGTGTTTTATGGATGTTGCTTCGTCGAAATTAAAAACATTGTGATTCCATTTACAAACAGTTTCATGAGATGAAAAAGGTAAAATAACATGAAGCCCAAAAAATATTAGATTACAATGTTTCTCATTAATTTTTTTTTTTTTTTAATAAAACAAATAATATGATTATAATAATATTATTAAAGATGCTTACCTACTTATCTACTTACAATTTTTTTCTGGACAGATATTCAAAATAGTACAAATTAATTAGCGGAAAGATTAAATATAGGGGTATTATTATGATAAATAAAATGTATGTGTGTCACAAATAGAAAAAGTTTGTGCAACAAGAGTGGATATTATGTCCATATCGCACGAAGACGAAGTTTGAGAACAACGCCGTAGACAGAGTACTCAATAGTCTGAGTGCGATACAGACAATCCACTCGATATTTTTTCTACGACCCACTAACGAAAATCTAAAAATTTTTAAAACGATTTTAAATTAATAAGATAAAATAATTTATGACTTTATATAATAAAATAAACTTGAATCAAAAAAAGGATTTAATTTAATTAGTCTCCAATCGTAGAATTGAACCCGGGACCTCTGCATGAAAGCCAAATGACTTGGTCACTGCACCATCGCCATACATATTGTAGGTTTAATACTCGTAATTAAATTGATTTTATATAGTTTTATTAAAATGTATGGTTTATTTGTAAATATAGACGAAATAATAATAAAAATGCTATTATTCATCGATTCTACACAGGAATAACTCATTTACATGTATATTAAATCTCAATAATTAAAAAATATAGTGACAATTAGTTTGATAGAACTGTTACTTATTTAAAATTTAAAAAAATATAAGTAGCCGAGTGATCAAAATATTGTGATTGGTGAATTTCATTTTTTGCAGTGGTCTTACTAGGTAGATTGGATATGAAATATATTCGTTCAGTTTGAACGCAATGGAATACTTTGTCGTTTTGCAGTCTTTGCGTTGATTAGCTAATATCCATGTGGGCGTAGAAAAATATATTTTACAATTATGTTTATATTTCAGAAAAATTGTATAAGTATTTTTATTTTATTTTTATTTATCTTTTCGGTAATCTTGTATAGTTGAAGGGTCTGGAAGTGCACATGTCTGCATCATTCCTGTTCCAGCTAGTTCTGATAGTTGGAATCGTTAAATAGTTGCCAGGTTACATTTAATTATTTGGAACCAGGGAATAAGCAGATTGAAATAACTATTTTACTTTTAATCATCTATTTACCAATTTTTACATCAGTTAAAAATCTCGTAAAAATAAAAAATATTCTGAAGATTTTCAATTAATACGATCGTTATTTTTAATGTCAATAATACCATTCAATAGTGATAATTATAAAATTCAAATTTAAAAACTATCCTGTCTTATAAAACAAAACATTATTTAAAAGTTAATTGTACGGCACAATAAAAATCGGAGCCACTCGAGCCATTCATTTTCTAGACCCGTCAACTACAAGGTTACCATCTTTTCTTATTTTTTTGTATTTTATTTGCATTTATTTACATTTTAGTAATGTGATTTTTTCAGGTGTTTATAATTTAGTGGTGAGTATTACTTTTGCTGCTTTTTGTTAAATTTTTCATTTAAATTTGAGAACATTAAAACCTAACGTTGACGCCACCACTGTAAGACTAAAACAAATTAGTTCATAATGCGCAGGTCCGACCTGTGCCAGCGGTCATCATCATGGATCATGTTGCATGTTGCCTGCCTGAGGGACGCAAAGGAGAAGAAAAGGCGGTTGTCATTTGTCAGTCCGTCGTAAGAAGTGTTGTCGTTTCGAGCTACTAGCTGTAGTAAAAATTACTACAAACGAGACTCTTTTAAACAAACACGGCGTGTGTTTCGTGTGAGTGTTTTGGCCCCTTAGGGGTCCTACATGGATATGGCCGAATATTACCCTAACACGGCCCATCAATTATTGTAAGTAGATTTTAGTATTATTTTCTTCATTGTATTCACAAAGAGGTAGGACCTATGCAAAGAACTCGATGTATTTTTTATCTATGTGTTTACGTACTTACTTCTTATTTGTATTTATCTAATAGCTAGTATTGTAAAACAGGAAGATGTTAATAAATAACAAAACATGTAATATAGAGCCTTGTGTGTATGGTTTTCCTCTTTATTTTATTTCGATGACTCGAGCCTCTTGAGCAATTTATCACTTACACACTTACATTAAAGTAACAAAAGTATTGGGACATTGGTTTAATCTCGTTTTTGTTCAAAGCAGTTCAGCTATTCAATAAAAAAGGCTGTTTAGCCAAATAAATTGTCAGAAAACAAAAAACAAATGCATACCCGCCACCTAATTGCGTATTCCCAACCTCGAGTTTTTTAATCCAAATTACTTAAGACTTGAAAACCTATAGTGTGGAAAAATTGTGCAGAACGATTTAATTTTATATTACTTATCTCTGTAACAAAAAGATGTATTTATCTCATCTTATTTTCACTCTTACTTAGGTTCCCGCCGAGCCGTCAAACACCCTTAATTTATGTAACTTTATGGGTATTAGGGTGGTTCTCATTTCTCACAAAATATAACTTTACGTCTTTACGTGTGTCTAAAAAAGATTCACATAGGAAAGGGAATACCTAATCGCTTTAAATAAATACATTGTAATTAGCTAGACATTACAAAAATAAGTAGGTTTTTTTTTTGTGAGACACAATAGGTCGTTTGTTCAAACACAAATCGATTGTTATAAAATAATGTACCTAGGTACATATTCTCAAATATTTAATATCACCCACATTCAATAAAACATAATATCTGCTATTTAATTTATTTAGAGGGAAAACTAATTTTAGTTACGTTAATAAATAGGTAGGAATTTTATTTTCTGTTATGCTACCAAATCCAATCGTATTTTCAGAAATTCATGGCAGTGGGCATTTGGAATTGTTTTCCATAAAAATAATAATACCTAATTAGTGTACCTACTTAAATGTAGTTACTTTATATCGCTCTTGTAACAATATATTAGCCTTAACCCTTTTTTAATTGAAGATTAATTAATGTTTAGCTATTTATGTAAGTTTGTAATGTTTAGCGATGTAGCGCACAATCTTTCTTTTTATAGTGTAGTAATTTTGTTTCCGTTATTTCATCATTTTCAGAACATGATTTTTTTATTAAATTCCTAGATGGTACCTATCTAAATGATCAAATAATTATAGGTCGAGATAGGTACATTCCTACCTAGTTATGTAAATCATTTAGTTGAAAGTTATTGATATAACAAGTTCTCGGTAGGTAATATGAATAACTATTACTGAAGATACCATCGTTTTATAATATTAATCATACCCATGTCTCGGAATATGCGGACAATTTCCCGCGTTGAGATCTAAAAAGTACCTAAACATTTTTATTCCTATGACACCCCGGAAATAGTTTTTTCTTTATTTTTTCTTTTCTGTCTGCATACACAAGGAAAGTATAGGAATCATGATTTTTTGGACCTCAATTTTTTAACGGATTTTTACGTTTTGGGATCCCCTGAATCTGTTTTGACTATTTTCGCGATGATGACATAGATCATGACACATTGTGTGTGTCTGTGTCTACTGTATCCACTATAACTAACAAACAGATAAAGAGAAAAACACTAAATTTTAAACTTAAGCTTTAATCCATCCTCTAATGAGATGATTAGGCACAGTCGGCGCATCGGGGGGTATTTTATAGCAGATTGTTTTTCTCCTTTAAGAAATCTGTTATTTACGCTTGAAGAAGATAATTCGTCAATTTGGAATCCTTTTTATTATTAACTTTACGAAAAAAAGTTATTCTTCATAAAAAGTTCTGCATGGCCTGAAACCCAAACTGCAACCACCAGATGTCAAATTTTTACAATAGCATACGAGGTATGTCAAATATTATGAAGTTTGCTGAAGAGTACTTTATTTTTGACAGACCTCGTATACGTGATTTAAAATTTGATAAGTGATGGTTGTATTTTAGGTTTTAGACCATGCTCGACTTTTTATGAAGATTAACTTTTTTTTTCTAAAATTAGTAATATAAAAGATTTCCGTATGCCACCAACTGTCTTACGTAAGTTGGCGGCATATGACAAACTTTTTAATTATTAATATTAGAAAAAAAGTTACTCTTCATTTATTAATAAGATACAAAATAAAAAAGACCGATTTTTTTTGAGGCTGTTAATTTTGTCGATGTGGATTTTTTTTTTAAATTAAGGTTTAAGCTGTCCCAAAATTTTATTGTACTTTTATCACACAGGGTGTAAAAAATTTGCATTATTCTTTTAAATCTAAACTAAGCCATGTTTAATGGGGTCTATTTTAAGGAGACTTATCTAGTATTTATCATATTAAAAAAATATTGAAATATACCTTACACAAAGTCAAGTACAAAAATTATTAAAAAAAATATTTGTCATATCTAAATGGGGAAAAAAATGATGTGTCCAACAAATGACTTTCCTGTCTTACCTGAAGTTATTATATACTTTTTCCGGTTATTCTGTACAAGCTATTGTGACACCCCTGTAAATATTTCGAGTAAAAACACACATCATACTCGAAACATTTTTTATATACAGTGTGTCTACTTAAGTTGGAACCATATGGAAAACTTTTTTATTATTGGTTTTGTGAAAAAATGTATTATCGATAAAAAGTTATGAATAACCCCAAACTTAAAATGCAACCATCAGATATAATTTTTTTTAAGCTGTATACGAGGTTTGTCTAAAAATATGAATTTTACTCAAGAGTAAAGTACCTTTATTTTTTACAATATAGAAGAATATAGCTTGAATTAAAAATTATATTCAAATATGTAATTACAGTCATTTAGCTTGAAAATTCAGGTTAGGTAATTATTAACGTTTTACATTATAAATTATTTGTAGTTATAAATTAATTAATGACCAAACCTGAATTTTAATGCTAAATGGCTGTTTTTGCATATTTGAATATAAATTTTAATTCAAAATAACTTTACTTTATAACATTCTTCTGTATTGCAAAACATAAAGGTACTTTACTCTTGAGCAAAATTCATATTTTTTGGCAAACCTCGTATACAACTTTAACAAATTGATATCTGATGGTTGCATTTTAAGTTTTGGACCATGCAGTACTTTTTGTCTGGAATAAATTTTTTCACAAAACCAATAATAAAAAAGTTTTCCATATGGTTCCAACTTAAGTAGTAGTATATTCTTTGCCAACAAAAATACCGAAAAATTAAAATTTTAGCCTTTTCCTCGAATATTTCCATTACGGTCTATTTTAGAGAACACATTATTTATAGAGAATTATATCGGGATAATTTTCAAAATATTCGTTTAGGCACTAGAGGTATTATAAGTGAAAATAATGGGGAAAATTCGATTTTTACAGTTTACCTCAAATTTCTCGAATACGGTCCATTTTAGGGAAATCATATATATGACAAAAATTATAGAGAATGACATCGCAAGCATTTTTTATTTGAATATTTTTTTTTAATTTCGAATTTTGCACTTTTTCAAGCGAAAATAACAGATGTTCCATAAAGTAGAAAAACGACCCCTCCAATAAAGTACTCCCAGATTCTCAGACTATCTCCAAAAACTAATCAATTCATTAAAGGATGGATTATAGCTTAAGTTTAAAATTTAGTGGTGTTGAGTTATCGTGGATTCAGATACACAAACACACAGACATTATCGCGAAAATAGTCAAAACGGATTCAGGAGATCCAAAAAAGCAAAAATCCGCCGAAAACACGAGGTCGAAAAAAATGATTCTTATATATTCTTTTGTGTTCCATTTGAAACTGAACCTACTGAAATTTATTTTTGAGTTGGAATAGTAACATCATCAATCATATTTAATTTCTGAGGAATCTTATCATTTTTTTTTTATAAAAGTGTTTATTTTAAATTTAGACGGGTTAAAGTTAAAATGTTATCTGCAGTTTACAATACTCCTACCTATATTATATGTATAAATCTATAAAACCAATTTATTTATAATACATCTTGCCATACCGTATCCACATTCTTGTCGCCCAAAATATTTGTAATAGACAATTTTGTATGATTAAAGATTATTTCAAGATTTGATAATACATTTTATTTCCTGTAGAAGACAAGGTGCAGTGCACTCATTGGTAAATTGACGAATTGCCTTATTTAGATATTTTTGATAACATTTTTAGATAGCCCTTATATATTTTTATCGATTTGGGTAGACACCTGCCATAATTATAGAAATATGTACAGAAAATTGAATGTATTTACTTACTTAAAAGGGAAAATATGTTTATATTTATTTGGAAGAAGGTGAAAAAGTTATTAAAAGTAAATGTAAAAATATGTATTTATTATCTTAGAAAATTATCATGAAATTAACATGATTAATTGAAAAGGAAGATATTTTAATCCTGTTAGGAAAACTGGTTACTATACTGGACATTCACCTGTTCTTAGTACCTATATGTGATCAACTAGAAAAATAATAGGTAGAGAATATTAATAATTTTTTCCTATAGGTACTAGAGGTAGATAGAAAAAGTTAAATACTTTAAAAATGTATATTAGATTCGAATTCAAATGATAAAAGATTTATATTAGAAAATATGACAATTCTAATTAAAAAAAATAAAATATACTCTTGTTGATTTTAAATGTTCTCAATGAGAACGAAAATCCTTATTTGACATTGACCAGATAGAAATTGGGCGAAAAAATTTGGAGAACCCTATAATTACATACTTCACATGAGCCTCCATTCATCCTTGGGCATACGTAATAACAAGGAAGTGCCGACATATGCGCCGATCATCTTTTTAACCTCTAACGCCGAGCGCCGAGTTATGTCACTTTAAAACGGATAGTGAAGGAGAGCACCGCGATATATGTAGCCACTCGGTTATCGATCAAAACTCGGCTCGGCGA